GACTGGCACAGCGGCTGTTTGCAGTGATAACAGAGGAGAGATCAGCATTCTCCTATTTGCTGAACTCTCCTCCTCTCTCTCTCTAAAGGCATCACTTCTGCCTTTAGCTGTCATTTCTCTGGCTCCTATAACAAGAGAAGAAGCTGGTGAAGCAGATCTCTGCTTTATTAGCTTTTTTTTTTATTAGCTTCTTATTAGCTTCTTTATTAGATTCTCTAGGTGACATAAGGGTTCTTGGAGACCCCTAATGTCTTCATAAAGAGGACCTGTTATTGTATATTTGTTATCACATAGGGGGCTTGTTGACATGTTTTGGTGTCTATTTACCCGACGTGACCCCATCTTTTATATTTTACCCAAAAATTGGGTAATAAGAAATGTTTTATAACATAACGTAGGGAAAACATGTTTTTTTTCATTATATAGTAAAAAAATAAATTAAAACCCCAGTGGTGATCAAATACCGCCAAAAGAAAGCTCTATCTGTCCCTAAAAAATCATCTAAAATGAATTTCAGTACAGCGTTATATGACGGAATAAATGTCAGTCAAAGTAATGATAACTGGCCTGGACAAGAAGGGGCTTTAACACCCCAGTCATCAAGTGGTTAAGGAACAGAAAGATGGGCAAGGCGGATTTAGGGGGGCAATGACTGATGGTCACCACTCTCCACTGGGAGAAGAGAGTGAGAGCTTACATAATCGCTCAGCTCTCTGTGTTAGAGCCGGCATGACAGTTGCAGTGTCCCTTGGTGGCTTTGAGGAGAAAGGAGAGTATGTTTTACTTTCCCTGCACTACTCGTTTAACTTATTAAACAAAAGTAGAGGGTAACATATGCTACAGTCATTGCTCTGTCTTGAAAACATTTCTTTCTGACCTCTATGGTGGGCTCTGCGGTGTCTCAGGTGGGCTGGTCGGGGTCCTTTTCCCAGCACATGCAGATCCTTTGCTGCTGACCTCCTCAGCTGCCGGACCGGCGCAGCTAGGGCATGGTCTCCCGCGCCGCTGGACCGGCGCTGTTTAGGCCCGCCCTCCTCCGCCGCCAGATCGGCACTGCTAGGGCCCGGCCACCTCTGCTGCCGGGACCCCAGGCCCTGTCTCCTTTACCTCCTTCCCTGTCAGTAGGCCCCCCCAGCCTTGGGCCACACTGGCTGCACCGATGGTAGTTCCGCTCCTGTGGTGAACGCTACAGGCAAGGACAACAGCAGTCTTCCTACACCTTCAAGAAATATGGACATTCTCTCAGGGACAGTGAGGTGGACATTTTGGACAACTGGTTTGCAAGAGGTGTGAAAGAAGCCATCTACATCAAACTGGGACAACCATCCCCAAACAGGTGGGGGCCCTTCAACACATATAATACTGATTTACGATCTCAACCCCAGTGAACTGACAATTGTGACCTTCTGCCATGTAACTTAAAGGTTTAACACCTGTCCAAGACTGTCACTTCCTGTGTCTCCTCCTGCTCAGCAACAAGTCACTGCAGCAAAGGGTTAAAACTGTTTCCAAATAGAGATAAGCCTGGGCTTGTCGTGGACTCAGTTTGTCTGAATTTACCCAAGCCCACTCAAAACTGTGACCGGCACCCCTCACTCCTTGCCCAATCAGTGGCAGCAGTTGTGAGTGTATAATCCACCCCTTAATTGTTGGCCATGGTTATGTGTTTAGATGAAACACTAAGATCTAAAAGAATGCTGAACTAAGTTTTATTTTCTTAGAAGAACATTACATGTATGTATATGCAATTGTGATGACAGACATATAAATAGAAAAAACAGCTTCCTGTATACAGTGTGTAATAAATAAGCATGCACATAGAGAGCAACATTGCACTACAGTTTAAAAGACATATCACAGTACATTACAATATGCTGTCACATTTCCAACACCCCTTCTCTACAGCATATGCGTTGCTATATGACGTTTAGCTTCCAAAGGAAACTGTGACGATCCTTTGGCAATGCCTTGGTGAGTGCGTCCGCAGCAATTTCTTCTGATAAGCAATACTGAATGTCGATAATAGCTTGCTCTTGAGTGTCCCTTGGCAGATGATACTTCACGTCGATGTGCTTGGTTCTGGGGTTGACCCTTTCTGATTGTGTCAGCTTTATACATCCCTGGTAAAAAATAAATGCTTCAAAATCTCTTGAAAACCTTCACACTCTAGTGTGAATTAAGGCTTAGAGTTGTCCCTAAAACACATGCGTCAAACACAGGGCTCGTGGGCCAAATCCGGCCCGCCACGCCATTTCATGTGGCCCTCGCACCTCTCCTGCAGCTTTACATTTTTAAAACAAAGCTGTTGCTGTAAACAAGCGCTGGCTTCCCAGGAAGGCTGCTGAGGTCCGCAGTAAGGTCCCGGTAGCATCCTGTGAATCACGCCTGTTTACAGCACCAGCCGAAAATCTCCTCCTCCTCCATGCCGCCCACACCCGCCGAGACTGACTGGGACACCTGGCGAGACCACACAGCCACATGAGAGTCTGCACAGCCCAGCATAGACATCATACAGCCACATGAGAGTCTGTACAGCCCACCATAAAACCTGCACCACCACCTGAGAGCCCGCACAGGCCACCATAGACCCTCCACAGCACACCACAGAACCTACACAGCCCAATGTAGAACCTGCACAGCCCACCATAGAACCTGCACAGCCACCTGAGAGCCCACACAGCCCACCATAGAACCTGCACAGCCCATCACAGGAACCTACACAGCCCACCGTAGAACCTGCACAGCTACCTGAGAGTTCACACAGCCCACTATAAAACCTACACAGCCACCATAGAACCTGCACAGCCCACCTGAAAGCCCTCACAGCCCACCATAGCCCACCAAAAACTCCACATAGCCCACCTGGGAGTCCGCACAATCCACCATAGAACCTGGACAGCCCACCAAAAACTCCACATAGCCCACCTGGGAGTCTGCACAATCCACCATAGAACCTGGACAGCCCACCATAGACCCTGCATAGCCCACCCGAGAACCTCTACAGCCACCTGAGAGTCCACACTATTACATTAATTGTCATTATTTTTCCTAGACTTTAACTTTCAGAGCAACTTTGCAGAGGCAATTATTTATATAGTCCTACAGTTACAACCGACTCTTTGAGGGCTGATGTGGCCCTCAATGAAATTTGAGTTTGACCTACCCTTAGCTGGAATACAAAGTGAGGGGCAGCATTGGCGTCCCTCTTTCCAATCCCCGAGAACGGAACACTATATGCATGGAGTTTGCATGTTCTCCCCATCAATCCAAAGACAAGCTGGTAAGTTAATTGACAATAGTGTGAGCGCGTGAGATAGGGACCTTCCAGCGGCACGCAGCGCCGGCCCTCCAGCTATTGTGAAACAACAAGTCCCATAAGGAATTGCAAGACTGGGAGTTACAGGCATGGCTTCCAGAGGCAAAGTTAAAACAGACTTGGAGGGCCCACCCCTGAGGGCAGGGACTGATGTAAATGTGCAGTATGTAAAAGCACTGCACAAATTGTCAGCCTTAATAAATAAAAAACAGAGGAATTCCCTTTAATTAGTGAGATTCCTTCAAGCTTCCTGTTGTTTCTCTGGGAAAGGAAGTGAAATCTCACCAAAGTTACACAGACAGCTAAAAATCAACTGTCAAGGGATTAACCCTTACCTACTCTACTACTCTATCTCTTTTTCAAGGTCTGGGGTGCGCGCAAAGAAGACAACTTCACCCCTGTGAACAAAAAAAGTGAACCCTGAAATTACAACACACTAAAAAAAAAAGTGCAAGAGAGTGCTTTTGGTCCTCCTCCGAAGAGGAAGGGCCACGAAACCTTGAACTCCCGGGGGTGCAAGGCTCCTGATAGGGGCAAGGACAACTCAAGTCCACCTAGCCGAGGCCAGGCGGACCCTAATCCTCAGGGACCTACAGAAGCAGATCCCACGGGTACTAGGTAGGGGCTCTCCTGAAGAGAGACGCTAAGACCCCATTCACACGTAGCGACATACCTTTTGCAGCGGATCCGCACGGCCGTGATAGCGTGACTTTCGGGGCGACGTTCCAGCGACGGTAGCGCAACCTTCTCCGTCGGGCTCCATAGAAAAAGGGCAAAATCGCGCAAAATCCGCCGAAAAAAGGGTCCGGTAGAAGCGACTTGCGACCGCGACGAGCGACATGGAGTTAAGACAGCTCCATTGAATAGCATTGGCCGGCAACTTCTCGCGATATCGCGCGGCAAAAATGCGCGATATCGCGGCGGAAATCGCGCGATAATTCGCTACATGTGAACGGGGCCTCAAGTGGGGGGAGGTAGAGAAACCCATAGAGACCACAGAACCTCCCCCCTAACGTCAGAAAGGGCCCCAACAAAACCTGCACCCTCCGTCTTCCAAAATGTGCTCAATCGTGCATAAAAAAATCTACTCCATCTTAATGAAAAAAAAAAAACATTCTGGCGATACGAGGGAATTTATCAAAACAGGACCAGACAAAATCTGGAGCGGACAAAAAACAGGAACAGACAAAATTTATCAAAACAGGAGCAGACAAAATCATGGCAACCAATCAGCTTCTCTCTTTAGTTTGTTCAGTTAGGGTTTGAAAATGAAAGAGAGTTGCTGATTGGTTGCCATGCACAGCTGCTCCAGTTTTGATAAATTCCCTTCATACAATTTATGTTAGTGAACAGGCAGAGGCAGTGATGTGTGCCTACAAACTTAGTGCTAAGTAGTATTCCCTTTTTCTCATCTCATAAAGTCAGAAACTCTGCTCATTGCTGTGACTGACATTCTTCACCTTTTTTTATTCTTAGTCGGGCTTATAGTAATATAAAACATATAACAAAAAAAATCCACACAGCTCGCTACACATGAAATTTACATAATCCCGCCTAGCCGAGGCATTCTACGCCTATATGATGCGTGATCATCCTCTCTTCCTCTGATTGGCCTCTGTCCGGAGCTCAAAACAGCGCGCTCATTGGTCGCAGGCTGGATAGAGGCCGCGTTTGATTGGCCGCAGCTTCAGTGTGACACCGGAAGATTCCAGGTGACGTGCGGTGAAGGTGAAGTAGTGCTGGGGACCTGGTCATACTCTATTAGTCGGCTACACGCGTGTTATTATCGCCTGTGAGGTACATCTGCTGCGTTTGGTGGCAACACAATAATGGGGACTAGTATACCATGATGCAGCTGAGCGCCTCATTTAGATAGGTTGTGTATTGTAGAATGTGCTACATCTGTCTACAGCCATTGCCTTATCATGTGAGAGGCAGAGGAGCTCATGTTATGCAGACCATGCAGGTGTAAATGATCACTTTATTTTATCCGAGGGAATACTTCAAAATCTTTTGGGACTATGAAGAAACAGATCGATGAGGTCACATGGGACACTCTGTTCCCTACAGATAAAAAATATTGATTATCAATCAGATCTCCAATTATAGCATCTCTGTTACTATTTTAAAAAATTGGAAAAAAAATAATAATAAATGTTCTGCCGCTAATATTTGCGTTCTTCAAAATCTAAGGATGGTAAGGAATATTCTGCCCCCGACACCTTTCTGTGGTTCTGGTCTCTCAGTCATTACAGGGGTGACAACACTGAAGAACGTTTCAGGGGTACTTAGAAAAACAGAGAGCTCGGTCTTACTGGTATGAGCAGCGTGCATCATATATGTGATTTTATAGTTTGTATTTTTCTTCCACACCCCTTTTTTTCTTCCTGATTCAGCTTCCATGCCTGTGCAGTTTGGTCCCATAGACTTCGATGGGTCTGGTAGACATATGGGATCCGATCCATCTACAAGCCCCATGGAAGTCTATGGGGGCTGAACTGCTCAGGTCTGGATGCCGAATCAATCGAGAGAAGTAAACAATGGCACGGGCCCTGAAGGAAAATCTGGGTAAGTAAAGTGATTGGGGGTGGAGCTAGAAGGGGAAAGAGACTTTATGGGAAGGTTTCCTTACTCTGTCAGGTTCTTTTTTCTTAAATGTAAATCTATATAACAAGATGGCAAGCCCCTTTGTGATAGTGTTTGGAGGTGACATGTCCTCTTTATGGAGCCTCCCTGCACAGCACTTCCTGCCTCAGCTGTCACAAGTGGCAGCATTGTGATTGATCTCCTCTACAGCCCCACTTGTCACAGCTGACACAGCAAGCACTGGGAGTACAGCACTCATGTCTCACTGATCACCCCCCAACCACTAATCTGCTCTGTGATCTCACTGACCACCCCCCAACCACTAATCTGCTGTGTGATCCCACTGATCACCCCCCAACCACTAAACAAATCTGCTGTGTGAGATCACACAGCAGATCAAAGAGTGGACATTCTCCGGTCTGCTCCTCGTTCTCTCATCCAGAAGAGCAGGGGACCCCGAACACCATGGCAGGGAGGTGGGGTGGGGACAAGCAGGCTGCTATGTAGAAAAAAAACACCTGCCCAGTGCCCGGAGCTTCATCCCCCAGGCATTGGGCGATAGGAATTGCGCACCTCTGCACAGGCACCAGTTTTCTAAACCAGCCTGAAACAATGAAAATCCCAATTTATCAATAATATTAGAAATGGAGGGAAGCATTGTGACTGTGCTCAGGCACAAATGTAAAGGAACACTATGCTGGGCAATGTATATTTGTTTGATCCGGACCCATTGAAAAAAAAAAAGGTTTGAGAGTTTAATATACATTACATTTTACTGCCTGGCTTTTATTGCTGTCTGTGACCCCGCTGGAGAGATTTTCCTGTGACGCCAAGATAGAGCTGACCCTTCTTTTCCCAACACAGAATATCTTTTGTTTTTCTTTTCTGTGGTCTTTTGGAGAGATACATCTACGCAATAAAAAACCCGACAGGTGTTCTAAACCTGTAAAATGAATTTCTGACAGAACAACAACAATCTGTTCCTGCAGGGACTTTACATGGTTTCTAAACCCTCACGTTTTTTCTGCATATATCTACTTCAAGCTAGCAGTAGATATATGCAAAACGTTTAAAAACGCTGTAAAGCGAATTAAACTTACCCCCTCTTTGCCGCGTGCTCCCGTCCGAAAATCTGAACATTCTCGGACGGCCGCAAAGCATCTTGGGGCGGGCGCATGCGCAGTTCAGATTTTCGGCCAGAAGACAACGAGAGACAGAAGGTAAGTCTATATACAGCGTACACCCGCATGCAGACACCGTGGGACAGGAAGTGCCAGCAAGCACAGAGGAGTTGGCGATGGATCGGAGACCCGCAGCAAGGCTGGAGAGAAGGCTGAAAAGGACAGGAAAGAAGAGGAAGATCGGATTAAGAGACATCATCAAGTGCTGACATTAACATTGGGGGAGGGAAAAACATGTTTGCCTTTAATGTCACTTTATTGGGATCAATCAAGGGGAAATGTTCATGTAATAAAGTAATGTACTGTATTTTTTTAAAAACTATTTGCCCTGACAAACACTTGAGGTTAGTTTGAGATTAGTTTGTGCTTTGCTTTTATTCTTCTGAAGAAGTCTGTGTATGCAAAGCAGGGGAGGACAAATTAATATGGAATTCAGAAGCCAGTCAGTCCAATCCAGGAGCCACCTCTATTGACAACAACTAGAGAAAACTTCAAATGTTAGACGCCAGCTGTCATTTATAAGGCTCATTGGCTACCTGGCTTCTGGGATTTGTCCAGCTCTGATGTAAATATATGGTAAAAGAATGATAACACATCTCAAATGACCGTGTACACCAGTCATTAGAATGCAGCAAATGGTTGATCATAAGTTTGGTATAATAATGATAAAGAACTGTTTTAAAAAAATCACACCTGGAAAAAAAAAAACACCCAGTTTCAGCTACAGCAAGCAGGTCCCAGCAAGTTCACTGGAACCGCTTACAGCCTGGGCCCAGCACTAGGCCGAGGAGGAGAAGTGATCAGCTCATGAGCTTTAAGATCCTTCTACATAGTAGTGTGGTTTTAGGGGAAATCCCGGTAACATCACCCCTGACAACATCTGGATTTCCTGTGAACTTGCAGACGAGAGGAGCTGATCCCACTGCAGCAACAGATAAAAACAGGCACTTAAGTGATCTTTTACTGCAGAGGTGCATGAGGGGAAAAAAAAGTCTGATCCTAACATGGTTTATCCAGACTAAGAATATGATAAAAAGTAGGTCTGTTCTCATTGTGGCTAGTACCATATTCATTGGTCTCAGCCCTGTTTGGCCCCTTTAACAAGGCCGTTCCGATTAGATCCACCTGTCAGTTTTTTTAGACAGACCTGATCGGAAGCCCACTGTTAAGCTCTAGGCAGGCGGATGTAAACGGATATGGACCTCTTTACTTCCAAATATCTCTGAGACTGCCTAGATCCGAGGGAAAATAACTCAGTTTTCAGACCTAAACTTGATAGATTAAAGGTAAAATGATCCACCTGCCCATAAACCTAATATGGGTCCATTAAGCTCTGTTTTTTTCCTCCATCACAAGATGGAGGAAAAAACTGAATGGACACGAATGTCACAAAATCTTATTCTGTTGCAATTCAACAGAGGATCTGTTAGTAGACTCCCAGGTGATCGGAATAGCTGCAGCCCATGTAAAAGGGGCCTAATTCACTAAAGTGATCCAAAAAAACAGAAGTTATTTGCCCTTTAAAAAAAATAAAAAAAATATATATATATATTATAATATATATTAGGAAGTTTCACACCATGCCAAGTCTCCTCTGTAAAGTGTAGTTCTAAGTCAATCACAGGAATATCAACATATATAGCAGGAAATAAACGGCAGGAAATGAGGTAAGCTCATCTTCGCCAAAGGTATAGTCATACAGTCTTATTCGGAGCAGCTAAAGACCTCTATGGTGTAAACCAAACACAGCAGAAAGAGATAATAAAGAACAGCCCAATCAGTTTATAACTAGCTAGAGAGTTCATCTGGCAGGGGCCGTTCATAGCAAATGTTCAGCAGAAACTGTCCAGCACTCCGTTCTGTCAACTAGCAAAGTTTATCTGAATAAACCCGGAATCTAACTGACTTGCTTCTGAACTATCTGTGTTAATAAAAACAGGTTTCATTTTGAGGCTGGATCCCTTGGGTTACACTGTAACTTTGGTATTATGTAATCTTGCTCTCAGTTTATTCATTGCTACAGTCAGTACAAACGTGATCTTCCGCTTTGGAACAATAAATACAATATGTGTCTTTTGTGCAAGTTCATATTTGCTAATTTGCTCTTTTCCTCTTTTTAGAAAGCCAGAATGTCACTAACGCGTTTAGGAAGGCTGGGACAGAAGTCCAGTGTCCTGTTTTTATGTGACATGCAGGAGAAGTTCAGACATAACATTGCATTCTTCCCTCAGATTGTGTCTGTGGCTTCTAGGCTACTCCAGGTAAGAGAGCGGCACAAATAACAATTTGTATGTACAATACAGGAAATGGATGTTCGATGTGTAGATAAATATCCAAAATCCTCAAGTGCTGTGATTTTGGTTTTTCCAACTTGCTGTTGTGACCATCACTGTCATATCAACACTGAGATTCAAAGATACAGTCAGGGCCATCATTACAGTAATGTAATTCTTTCAGTAGTAGATGAGCAGGCTATGGTTTACTGGATTTGTTACCTTTCAGGAAGGATTTTGCTAAGTAGGGATCTATACCCACTGTGGCTCTGTGGTCAGTAGAGGGCATACTCGCGTTCAAGGATTCTACAGAGCAACAGTTAGTATTCTATTATGAAATGCAGTTCTTGCTGGCGTGCCCTACCCTTCACCTTATTCTGGCTGTGACTTTTATCTGTCTGACCGTGGCAAACTGGGATAGATCCTTCAAAAGGGGTCTCTCCTTTACGCCAGTGGATGTTTTCCTGATGGAGCATATGGAACAGATGTCTGGGGTTTTCTGCTTCAGTTGTGATGGCCTGCTGAAAGCTATTGTCTTGTCTGGCTTATTGGCTTGTCTCCCTTATAGGCATATTGTTCATACAAATGTGCAGTGCACTCTGGTTGTGGTGCTGGGATGCTGATACTGCATTCAAGGAGCACCTGACCCACTTGTTCTTGACTTTAGCATCAGTAATATCACTGGAGGCCAGAGCGTCCACCTCCCTCAATACAAGAAGTCTAGGGAAAGGTTGACTAAGTTCCCTTCCCTTTCTTTACCTGCTCCTGGAATAGGCACACCTATGTCTTCCAAACCTGGTTCTCCAGCCACCTGCAAGACCAGGGGTAGGAAGTCTGATAAATCCTCAGGCAAGTCTTCATTAGCATGATGGTGCGCCCCCACTTTTTCAAGTGGGGGACGTTTGTTAATCCTTGTCACAATGTCTGGGAATCTGTGCTGGATTTTCCCTTTGGTCTCCGGTGCTTGGCTGTCAGCCTATGGTGTTTCACAAGGCTGTTGCCAATCTGAAATCCTCCTTGGTTCGAGCAACAAGTCTTGTCTCTTGTGCCGTACCCCTCGTGTTTCTTGTGACTCCTGTGATTGGCATGCCCTGCACTTTCTTCGTGCCCTGTGCTTCTGGCTTCCTGTGTACCCTGTTGGATTATCTGCTTGGCTTTATTCCCTACCTTGCTCTTGGAGTTCTTTTTATATTCTAGTTCCCTGAGTGTACCTGTGTATATTCCTTGAGACTTTCCTGTGCTTTCTCCTGTGTGCTGTAAGTCTTGCTATACTGCTTCAGTGTTCCCACTCTCCTGGCCCTTTATGTCAGTCTTCCCTATTTACGTAGATTCTCCGTACTACTGAATGCCTTTTTCACCGGTGTTCGGTATTTCTGTTTACTTACCTCACCTCAGTGTCTCGCATGCCTTCCCCTGCACTTCTATGCTCTTTGTTCTGCGCTATCTGTGTTCAATACCTCCTTGATACGCACATCTCCTGTGTGCATTCGCCTCCTACTCCATGTGTGTATCATCTATGTGACCTGTATCTCTTAGTATGCACTTCTCCTGTGAGCTTCTGCTACTCCTGCATCTGTGCAACACACATCCCTTGTGCATTGTTGTACCTGTTACCTTCATGCTCCTAGTGCGCCTTTTGCTATGCACCTTCCCCATGTACCACTGTCTCCAGTGTCACTGTGTTGCTTCCCTCTTTGGTGTATCTTGTGTTGTGCATTTTGCACCTTTCGTTGTCTCTCTTCTTGTGTGCCAGTTACGATCCTTTATCTCCTGGCTTCAGGTTTCTTTCCTGCCTGTCACTGTACCCTGTACTGCAGCCTGTCTACAGGCTTCTACCCTGCCTGCCCTTGTGTCCAGTACCCCGGTGCTGCAACTAGTCCTTGAGTCTGTGTGGGTCTGCTATAGGGCCGCAACCTGAAAGGTGTCTTGCAGCCAATCATCCTCACCATTAGGGGCTCTGTGGAAGACCTGGCCCTTCTTAGGCTCTGCGCTTCTAGTGCGTCCCCAATAACTTACAGACTCTTAGTCCCTAGGTTTCCTGTGACATGCATCCCAGTTTTTACACCAGTCCATGATTCCAGCCTGCTCTGCAAGACCTGGAGCTCTCATGGCCTAGTGCCCCGGTCCCCAGATCGTGACAGCTTGTGGGCTCTTGCTTAGTTTGTTTTTCAGGTTTTTAGGTATGGAGAATGCCCCCTTGGGGATTACAGACTGAACCCTAACAAATAGCGCTCTCTTAAGCTCCTCACTTTATACTTTCCTGTGCCACAAATTAGCAGACCTACCCCTTGGGGTATCCTAAATCAAAAGATCCTTGTCCTAGATCCGGTACCAGCTTAGCCTTGGGAGCTGCATCCCAACCTGCTCTAGGCTCCTAACAGAGTAGATATTTGTCTCCTTCAGAACATATAAGTCCAGCAGTTTTACATGGGATCCACCAGGTCTACAGTCCCTGTATCCTTCCAGAGGGATCCTCTAACATCCATGTACAGATTTTACACTGTCCTCTTGGGGCTTCAACTTTCCAGCCTTGTCCCTACACTTTAGGTTCCCCCCAGGGTGCTGGGCCTAATGTTTGCACCAGGGCCTTTTCATGGCATCCACATAGAGGAACACTCGGATCACCTTCTGTGAGGATCACAGCTGACGTGGGCTCTAGTGGACATCTTCTTTCCTCTTTGTTTACTTTGCAGACTCAGGAGGTGCATTTCTCTGGTGCTCTTAATTCACCTCTTGTCTGATAGGTCTCCTGACTCCTGCTTCACAGACCCTGATGCATTGTGGGATCTGGGAAGTCAGGAGCAGCTTTAGGCCTGTAGGTCTTTTGAGCCTCTAGAATAGGTAGGGTTTTCTGTAAGCTTTTTTTCCCCTAGGGCTTTGCTCCAGGGGTCACTCCTTGTTGATGGCAGTGTTGTTCAAATTGGTCTTCTACACTATTAGGTTGTACAAGACCATTCCCCTCCTCTGGTTCGAACATCTACCTTCCATTCCCCACCTACCCGTATATGGGATTTCCTTTATCCTACTGGTCAGGCTAACTTCGCAACTTGTTTCTGTTAGTGGTCTCGGGAGCCACTGTTGAACTCCTTTTAAGGTGTTTTCTGACTTGAGTCATGCTCAGTGTCTTTTACCTAATAGTTCCCATCTTGTTTAGGTGAATGTCTGCTGAGTAGTCATTCTAGACATGGAGTTTCTTGTTTCCTAGATCTTTATGGAGTCAGGTGAGCTCAGACTAGGGCTGCAACAACTAATCGACATAATCGATTATAATTGATTATTGAAAAAGTTGTCAACTTTTTCAATAATCGATTAATCGGCTTCCGATCAGGCGGCCCTGTTCACGGGTCCACAAACGCGCATATCTAACTAATCGATTTTGAAAATAATCGTTAGCTGCAGCTCTAGCTCAGACTTTATCCCTTTTTTTTCTGTTTAGACTGGTTCTGGTCTTCCCTCTACCAGGACATTTTTATAGGGTTCTCTGTTCCGTTTTGATCCCTCTGAGGGGATTCTATCTCCCCTTGTTGACCTCCGTTCAGGTTTCGAGTTGGAAAGTTGTTGTTCTTTCCACTCTTCTGGTTGGATTACCTTCTTGCTTTTGATCTATGTTTGGTGTCTTTCTTGTCATGTTGGGACATTCTTAACAGGTTCAGTAATCTCTTGGTCTTCAGGCATCAGACGTAGTTCCCCATGTCCTTCTGGACTGGTTAGTTTTCCCCTTACCTTGTGTAGGGTTTGACCTCATTCGGTGTCAGGTTTGGGCGTTGGTCCTTTAGGTGGAGCTGCAAGCAGTCCCCAGTCCCCTTGTTCATATTGAGCCTGTTAGTGGTTATTTGCTGTTGCCCACCTCTCAGTTGGACTGCTTTTTTGCAGGTCCCAACCATTAATGATTTCCTGTGCGCCTCAATGGACAAGAAATAAAATAGGATTTTTGCACTCGCCTTAAAGTCTTTTTCTTGGAGTTCATTGAGAAGATTCCATACTGTACCTAATGGTAAACGCAGCCATGCATCCCTTCACATTTGCATAACTCCCACCTTTGTGAATTGCCTGGCTAATAGGCATTCCACAAGTGGTTTCTACCATCTCATCTGTGGATCTCGGTTACCATTGGCCTCTTTATTACTGGATATTGCCATCTTTACATGTTTACTGAGCTTTGGTTGGCAGCCTTCTCTAAGTCATAATTGTGCCATATTCTTTCTGCATTTCATTGGTGCTCTGGCTGATTTTAAAAATTTAGAATGCTATATCCTGGATTTCTTTTAATAAACCCCTTGGTCTTAATGATGTTGTTTCTTTAACTATGACAATAAATTCTGAGGCATTCAGGGCATTCAAGCGTACAAGTAGGTTTATTTTGAAATTATATGACACTTACACTGAGTTGCCAGATTATTATGACCACACCATCAGTACTTCGTTGGGCCACGAGATGACTCCACGAGATGACTTTGTTGGACCACCTCGTGACTCCACGAGATGTTGAAAGGTGATGCGAGGAATCTGACACTGCACTGTTGCCCTTCTGTTGTCTTGTACCAGTCTTGCCACTCTCCGTTCTGCCCTAACATTGACTAGTCGCTGACGGCCACAATTCGCACGTTCAGACCCAGATTTTCGGCTGACAGTCCAGTCTTTAAACACCTTAACAACAGCTGCTCTTGAACATATAACCAATTCTGTTGTTTCGCTGATACTCCCTCCATGGCTTCGAGCGCCAACAATCATCCCACGTTCAAAGGCTGTTAAATCGCGTTGTTTACCCATATCTTCAGAAAAAAAAAATCACTTCTACTGTCATGGTAAACAACCTGCTTCCCTATTTATAATGGTCTGGCCCTCTAGCAACTTCAGCGTGAAATTATAGCTAATTTGCCTACAAACGTCAGGTGGTCATAATAATCTGGCCACTCAGTGTATAGTGTGCATATGCATACAAATAATTGTGACTTCTGAATACTGTATTCTGGTGCAAGGAAGTGTTTTGAGTTTTTTTAAATGTAAATAATTTGCAGTAGGTGTGGATTGTATTTCCCACTTTATGAAAGATTGAAATCCATTTCAGTTCCAAGATGCATCCATATAAGATGTAGAAAAGTTCAGGAAGGCCCATATAGTACATTTTTACGGTTTTCAATAGGCTGCATTTTACATTCTGGCCACTAGGTGTCAGATGTAGATAACATTCCCTAAATGTTGTAATAAATCTTACTTTTATCTCATCACCAAATTTTCTTCGCTTGGTTAAGTTTTGTATTTCAATATTCTGTGTTAGTTGGACAAATAATTTGGTGGGTTTTTTTTTTTTTAAGGTGGCATTAGAATTGCACAAATACTGCATTTGCAATATGAAATACAATGGCGTAATGTATTAAAATTTTAGGCAATAGTTAATAACTTTTAGAAGCATTAATGACTTTTAGCAATATTTGTTTTGTGGAAAGATAAAAATGAAAACGTGTAAGATAAAGTGTCCGAAGACAGTATCACATAGAACAGAGGCATGGAGTGCCTGAGTGTTAGTTTCAACTTTCTGTCCCTTGGGGACTATTAATTAAAAAGAAAACTAGACAAAAGAAACCATGAATGGAATTAAAATTGTTCCACAGCCGGGCGAATGAGATTATTTGTTTTATCCTCCCAGAGTTTAAAATATGAGACCTGATTGATATCAATGGGTAACAACGTCACTTTAGTTCCTGTTTTCTTCAGCTTTTAATAAATAGGCACTTGTCTAAAGGAGAATTATGAGGCGAGTGAAAATCACTCAGCCTCATAGTTCTAGCCGACCTGTGACAATGAAATTAGGAGAACTATGGGGAAAAGCCCTGACCCCATAGTTCTCCTTTTAAGATGCTCAGCAGCATGGTTGATGGCAGTTGGGGCACCTGGATGCTAAGAGAGGTGGGCAGAGGCTTTGGTTTTGTAGCATTGCAGTGGTACAATAAGATCACTCTGATCACAGGCATTTATATAGCACTGACTATTTATGCAGCACTTACTGTAGGAGCTTGCAGTCTAAGGCTCCTATCTCACATGCTTGTGTATAATGATACCAGGGCCCATTTAGACAGGAGCCAATAAACCTACCAGCATGTCATTGAAGTGATGTGTCAAGGAGACCGAAGTACCTGGAGGAAACCAATGCCAGCACAGGAGAACATGCAAACTCCATGCAGACAATATCCTGGCCAAGATTCAAACTTTTTTCCTGTAGCAGAGGTTGCAAGCCAGGCTTTATCACCACTGATGGGTGACCGCAGCTAAAGGTTATTGGGCTGGAAAAATATTTAGTGATTTCCACATACTGGCCAATGAGCGATTTTTATACTTTGAGCCATATGCAACGTAATGTCTCCTTTTAATCCATATTAGGAATCTTTACTAGTAATTACTGAAGCTGACATGAAAGAAGTTGTTATAGGAACTCCTGTTTTCTATTTACAGTGTAGCTGGCAAAAGGTTTAATCAATGTTTTTTGTCTGTAATGTGTGCGCTAATTATAACTTGTCAAAATGTCTGATTTCAAATAGATATAAGCCCTAAGTGGGTGACATTTCATTTTCTGAAGTTCTGTGTGTCATAAAGTACTGTTTCACCTTCCCATCAGTGCTGCCGATCTCCTTCATCTACTTTTAGTCACTTCCTGTCTATATGCACTCACTCCGGTGTCAGCCGATTATCACTACTTAGGCTTCTTGAAAGTGACGGGGACTATGCTTGGCAATATGTTTCAGCACAGGCTCTTGTAGCCTGCACCAGGAGCGCGTGTGCTAGTGACAATGTGGGAGCACATTCCTTTCACCCAGGAAGGAACAGGAAGTACCTGAACAGGAGCCTTTATGGCAGGATCACCAGATATTATTTTAATGGGAGCTGCAGATTTAAACATATTGAAAACAACTTTTGGAATTACATTAATATGTTCAAGAAGATCTCCAGGGAAAAGTTTTATTAACCCCTGCAGTCGGGGCTACCCCCACACTGCAAGGGTTAACTGGTCATTTTTTGTCTAGGTGCTTAAAAAAAAAAGGTATAGTCACCCGAACTGCCGAGCCGACAACCTGCTTCTCTGGTCACTGAAGCATTTCTCCTCTTCAGCAAAGATGCAATGTTCCTCAGCGTCCTTACGTCTATACACTTGTATACAGTGCGATGACACACAGATTCTTAGATTGCTGCAGAAGAGGGGGAGAGAGGCTCTAGGGACCGGTCTAAGAACAAGCCGACTGGAATGACCAGGTGAGCATAACTTTGCTTTTTAGCACCTAGACACAAACAAGCAGGTAACCCTTGCAGTGCGGGGGAAGCCCCACTGCACGGGTTAATAACATTTCCCCCGGAGTTCTTCTTTAAATCTTTCATGAGATTTTTAATTTGTTTTAGATACATGCCATACTTTGATTCATCTACAGGCTGGCAAGATGTTGGACATACCGGTTATAGTGACTGAACAATACCCGAAAGGACTTGGTCCCACCGTGCCAGAGTTGGGAGCTGATGGCATCAAGAAGTACTCCAAGACTTGCTTCACTATGATGATCCCAGAAGTGGAGAAGGAACTCCAATCCTTTCCTGAGAGACGTTCGGTTATTCTCTGTGGCATTGAGGCACAGGCCTGCATTACGGTATTTCTAACTGATAATTACAACATTAGTTTTGGTGGCCCCATGTGTGAATATTTGTTACCATTGTACTTCATATGTATGTAAAGACATACTGTATATATGAAGTACATGGATATGGTGGGGAAGAATTAGACCCTCTGTCAGGTGCTGCTTGTGTTACCACTGGGGAGATTCAGCCCTCTGTATGTCTCTTTGACTTCTGTCACGGAGAAGTGATGAGAAATGTATAATTTTCCAGTTGCTGCAAGAGATGGGAGCATCGTTTTTAATGGGAGCAAATGGTGACAACTGTCTAAGACGGTGATTCCCCCTACTTTGGTTAGATTTCTCATAAGTTTCTGTTGGGTCTTTAGGACAAGAGATGAAGGCAGATTACCTGCTCTATCCACAGTAAACAATAATAATGCCTTTTGGGGGGCCTGTACCATGCTTTCTTGTCTTACTTATCCATATTACATTTACCATCTCAGTGTGAACAATACAGACACATGTATCCCTGCTCCCAGTTAGAGACTGACAGTTGCAGGGAAAGCAAAGTGCCACAAAGCTGAGATGATAGATATCACGGGGGCAGGGAGTCGCAGGGTTTACAATCAGTGTTTCCTACCCCTTTTTCAGATCTGGCCACATTTACTTCATTGATCTATGTTTCTTTTCATCTTATCCTTGGTATTTAACAAGCTGTGTTACCAATTTCCTTTTCAGAGTACCACTTTGGATCTTCTGCAAAAGGGCTTTGATGTCCATGTTGTAGCTGATGCTTGCTCTTCTCGCAGGTAACTGTTCAGGTTCCTTTTTAAATCAGATTGGGCACATTCATGGCTAGACATACTGGAATAGCTGAAAATCTGTACTGTGGCAGTTCGCTCAGGACTTTTAATAAAAAAGAAATCTGAGCAGTAGGCTGTGGCTAGAATATGGACCCCCTATGTTGTTCTTGGACAAATGTATTCATTAGCACTTGACCAAGGCTCTGCGAAATAGGACCCAATGGTGGACCCAGTTCTCTGAACACTCTCACATGATGACTTTCAGCATTATTTGTGTTTTTTTGTATATTCGTTTATTATAACAGACACCGTTGTACAGACACAATAAGGCAAGGTTAATAAAACAAACATTGGGATTAAGAAAGCCGCACCCCTACGGACCTGCAAATGAGGTGAGTGTAGGGGGGGCGTACGGCCGCGAAGCCCCATAGAGAAGGACGGGGGCTGCGTTCTAATCACACGCAGCACCTGTCCTTTCCAGCAGCTACTTGGTACGGTCCCGCACGGAGCTGTACGTGCAGGCCGATTCGTGTGTGAATGAGGCCTAAGCATCAAATGATAATAGTAGATCTGTTTACACTAACCATGCAAAACATGTCTTGTCTTGGAGGATAGTCTAAATAAGTCAACAGTGTACAACTCCGTCCACTTTTTACCCATTATATTTAAAACCAGAGGAGAGTAAAAAGAGAAAAGGCTATGTAGTCAGAATCATTTATAAAATGTTCCCGCCACATGGTCTTAAACATCTCCTTTGTTTCAGAAATCTCTTGATTGGCCTATCTTACAATTCAGCGCAGTTATGTTCTAGAAGGCATACTATGTTGTAGGTGAAGCACACACTGAAACTGAAATGGAATTGAACTAGAGCTGCAGCTAACGATTATTTTCAAAATCTATTATGTTCGATTAATCGGATAAATATATTTTTTTTAAAAAGAATGGCTCCAGTGATGGGACTACTAGTTTGTATTGAGATTGCAGTGGATCACAGGAGCAAGCTTGGATCGGTGGAAGTAAAAGACAAAAAAAATGTGGTGTGCAATATAGTGAAATGAAAAGTGTAAAATTATACAGCAATCAATGCAGAATGGCACCGCCTATAGAGGACTACAAAACCCAGCAATACATTATAGCTGGTGGTATTCTGCATTGCGCAGTATAATGTACTATTGTGGGTGTTGTAGTTCTGTTCCCAGTGCCGATCGTGGATTTGGGCGGGCGGTGAGCGTGAGACGCATGGAGGAGGTGCGGCGTGTGGGTGCGGGTGGGCGGGTCTGGCAGTGGAGAGCGTGAGGTGGGGAGGAGGAGGTGTGGCGGTGGCGCGCAGCGTCTGTGGAGACGTGAACGGAGCCAACCAATCAGAAGCCGATTAATCGATGATTGAAAAAGTTGACAACTTTTTCAATAATCGATTATGTCGATTAGTTGTTGCAGCCCTAAATTGAACACTTAACTTGTCTTTTAACATATAATTATCCTAGATACCTTGGGATTGATTTAATAAAGGCAAATAGTATGTTTATTCTTGAAGGGGATTTTCTCTTCGTTTAGTGAGCTCTGCTAACTTCTATCATCCATTTATGTACAAGCAAAAATGCTGTTTTTGGTTTTTTCTTTCTATTTTCCTTACATGTGATTTGGGTATTTGCTATATAAATTTTTCACCACACACACACACACTAAGCTTAGGGAAAATTCCCTTGGAAAATGAACAACCCATTTCCCCCTAACTTTGATTGCATTACTGTCGGCTTTTGCTAAAGAGTAGGATATAGTAATGTAATATGTATTTTGTTTGTCATAAATAGGAGTATCATAAAATATAATAATTAAACTTACAATTTATAAACATAATAATAATCTTCTCCTTTCTCTTCTCCTCCTTTCTCTTCTCCTCCTTTCTCTTCTCCTCCTTTCTCTTCTCCTCCTTTCTCTTCTCCTCCTTTCTCTTCTCCTCCTTTCTCTTCTCCTCCTTTCTCTTCTCCTCCTTTTCTCTTCCCCTTTCTCTTTCTTCTCTTCTCTTCCAGTCTATTCTTATAGTAGTTGCCACTGTAAAAATCAGAGCTTGTTTACACTGGGTTTTCTTTGTGTCTGAGTTTTTTGTTTGTTTGCTTACAACTTTGTGAAAACAACTCAAGAAGCAACTACTTGACCAACTCAAACACATATAAATCAACTTATAAAATCAAAGCATCTCGGGGGCACCTGAAAACATACTGTTTTTGTCTCATGGGTTTATATCAATGGGTGCCTGACTCAGGAGCAAGTCCAATGGAGTATACTTTTGAGTTGCTTTGATGTATTTTTGAGTTGGTATGACTTTTTCAGTTTTCAGATTTTCAGTTGCTCTTAGCTAATTTTTACATTGATTTGTACGGGCAAGACGGGCAGTTCTGGCACAATTGTCCAGGAACACAAGTCCTAAGCAGACTAACAGAATGATGGCTTGTAATGTTTCTTTTAGGAGATTACTTGACAGGAAGTCGGCTCTTATTGGAAAATGTCATGCATTTTTTAACCTTCATTTTTAGTATTGTGTCTTGGAGAAATGACATTCATTATAAAAGGATTGTTGTTCTGTCAGCCAGGTGGACCGTCTAATGGCTCTTTCCCGCATTAAGCAAAGTGGAGCTTTTCTAACCACAAGTGAAGGAGTGATCTTACAGTTACTGCAAGACTCTTCCCATCCCAAATTTAAACAGGTAATGCCTAGGCCCTTTCTAGTGTCTTCAACTAGATAATGTCACAAGTGCCTCATGTATGAAAGTGTTTTATATATTAAATCCGCCTGCTCTTATTCAGGCATGATTTATATTAGGTCTTTTGTTGATGGACTTTGGGGTTCTGTCAATTTGACATCAGTCTGAGACACTTCTGAGACATTTAGAACTCATTGACAGGCAGATTTGCCCGGGTTCAAGCGGGTTTGTGTTCCTATAGACTTGTATGGGTATGCAAAACCTGCTTTAAGTGAACAGAAGTCCATCGCCACAGGCCCTTAAATATACACTGACAGATATGCCAGATTGAACATGTGATTGGGTGCTATCAGGCAACACACAGTTCTTACTGCTGGCACTCTTATACAAGACACCCATTTGAACTCTGTTGTGTTTAATGTGATGTCATGTACTGTAATCATTGAATTCTGCCTTTGTCTTCCAGGTTCAGAAGCTCATCATAGAGCCAGCTCCTGACAGTGGCCTCTTGTCTCTCTTTTAAAATCAAAATCTTCTCTTCACATACGATTCTGTGGGGTAGCACATCAAACCTTGATTCCAAACACTGGCATGAATGTAAAATATATGTACATTACAGTAATCTTAATAAAATATTATATTTTAATATAAATGATCTTTGTATTTTACTAGTAATTGGAAAAGCCCTACATTAACACAGGCAACCCATCCATGCTCAGGCGCATGAGGTGACAAAAGACTAGATTAAAAAGATTTGGTCATATATATTAACAAATCTGTGCGGGTGTTTTGGAACCCACTGATGAACTCCTGCTTTACTGCCTAAAGGTGAATTATGACCTACGGGCAAATAAACATACCCTTACCTTTAGCCTATTAGCAGTATTCATTATTTACAAAGACGCAGCACACCTGAGAGAAACTCATCTTAAATCATAGAAAACGGCCGCCTGCAGCCCTGCTTCCAGCTCCTTTCCTGTTAGGCTAATTTTTTTCTAAATGCTTACACTGCTATGTGTGTGCACAGCTATGTAGGTGGTCGGAGGTCTGATGAGCCGGAGAGAAGGTCTTGTTAACACTGCACAGCACGCGGAGAACGTGGTGACAGAGGAAGGAGGTAGGGAGGAGAAACAGGGCTCCACAGCAGCGCGTGCCTAGAAGGCGGGCACAGAGGACGGGGACGTCGAGGTAGAGAGAGAGCTGCGGGGACAGAGCTGTTGCCCATGCTCATATATTCATGGACGTGCAGCATCTCTCATGAAGCCCCATCAGTCAAGCTGATGAGAGATCAGTGGGAAGGTTCTCGACAGTATTGTGGGGATCTCTCCTCATTGCTGCAATTAGCCCCGCCCATCATCTTAAGGAAGCTATTACAGGCTTAGGGGGCATTTCAGCTTATAGGAGTAAATTACAATATTTACTCCTTTAGCCTAAGGAGTACAAAAATAAAGATCAGCTTGGACACCATACTTCTCCTTTTAAGGACTAACATTGAACAATTTCTGCAAAGACATGCCAACATACCTATCATGTGATAGGATTGTCAATTCTGCCTCAACAATGGGTTGGCCCATACATATCAATTTTCAACAAAATAGGACTGAGAAGACCGTTTTTTATGCCATTATTTGCCATTTGTATGGGCACCTCAGTATAAAAGTAATGGTTATTTTCTTACTATTCCTCTGAAGTCTGGTTTAACAAATAATGCTTTACTTCTGTATAGTAGAGCTATCCTAATATCTACAGTTTTTCTTTTTGCACAAGTTATATCTTATTGGTAGCTGAGGGAAACATGGACACGTGTGTTTTTTGGCTGAATTCAATAACCTACAATTCAAATGGAAGAATTCAGTAACAAAGCAAGGATGTGATATTATTCTTTCAAATAAAATGACAAATGTGAAAGGGCATTTTTTTTAAAGGTTATATATGTAGTGTGGTAAATGTATTCCAAATAAAACTATCTTTCATACCATAATGATGAAAAGAAAGCCAATTTGGATTACTACTGAAGTAACTGGTACATTAGCTGAGTAGCAAAATGCTTGTAAAATAGGAAAGCAAAAAGGACAAAGATGTGATGTCATTAAAAGGAATTTCATTTTACATAAAGCAACTCTGACATGAACATAAAACTGGGCAAAAAGCTGTTTACTCTGGCCACTGGACGGCTTTGTCCTTCACTGGTAAGAAGACACCCCAGACCCCATGTTGACCATGACAGCATTTAAAACTTAAAGAGAGTTACCTAAGGCTGGGTTCACACCTGGGCGTACGGTGTGAACCAGGCCTAAGTGAATCAAAAATGGCAAAGATATGACCATTACTAGGAATTAAATTTTACATAAAGCGATCCTGTCAGGAAAATTAAACTGGGCAAAAAGCTGTTCTTGCAAAAGAAGAGTTAAATACTTCCCTCTCCTGCTACTCTTGCTGGCAGCGTTGGTCCGTTGAAGAGAAATCATCCCCTCGAGTCCAACACTTTTGGTGGTGTCAATCTTCTGAGTCCCCTGCAGCTCTCACTGGCTCCTCCGACTGACCTTGGCATCTCTTTTATATCTTGTAATGGAGGTTGGTGGAAGGGACCAGTGCGTTCTGTGGGAGGGTTTGGAGAAACGGGTGACTGGAGAGAGGAGCATACTGGGTCTTCGTTTGCAGGTACCTACATTTTTTTTTTTATACAGGGTACATCAAGGAAAACAAAATATTTTCAGTGTACAAGCAGTCCAAAGGAGTTTTTCTTCCAGCAGTACAATTTGGTAATATGTGAACTACTTGCAGACTCTTTTAAGCCATGAGTAACTCCAATTCCAATTTTGCACCTGTACCTCCACCCAGTCCAGTGCCAAATCTGAGGTGGAGCCTGGCATGATATTAATCCCAAGACTATTCCCTGGAGCTATTTTTCACTCTATGCAAAAAATGTTTTGTTATATTACGCATGATTTCCAGAGCATTATGAGTTATCTAAAGGGCAGCAGAGCAGATGCTAATATGATTGCACCTGTCTTTTGAGTTCAGCTTTTTAAGCTTCTGTAGTCACCAGCTTTTCTCAGATTCCCAACACAAGGGAGTGGAGTGGATTGGTGCACCATAGCAATGCCTATAAGAAGTGCTGCATACAAGTGCAGCTGGTAGGCTGTGCCCCTTGTATGCAGCCCAAAGTTTAAAGCTTAACTTCAGCTATAACTTTTTATTTTGTTTTAGGTTTTAATGGGGGAATAGGGGTTAGAATAACTTTTTTTATTGTTGTCAGTGTCCCTGTTTGGGGATTTCTACAAATTGTATTTCTATTTGACATGTGCCAGCCAGAACAGGAAGAGAGGGTAAATTTCCCTAATGGACACGTACAACAATAAAAAGTAGATGCGGCTAGAGACTGTCTCTATTTTGTTGTCTGTGTCTCCATTGGGGACCAGGAGGGGTCATAAGAAACATCAAGACTCGCTCATACAGGGGGAGACCTTCCAGGAGAGCCGATAATCCAACCTCTCCACCAGGAGCTTTTCAAAGGGTGGATGCAGTCTCCTTGCCAAATGACTTTAATTTTGCCTGATGGGCACATTTGACCCATTCGACTTTGAAGTCAAATTATTTAAGTACGAGAGATCTCCTGAACTTAAACATTTTTTTCTCTATGCAGCCACGTGTAACACATTTAAAGTACGCACCAATGTTCAAAGTCAAGTGTAAATAAATTTCCCCCGGGACAATTTCAACCCATTGATTCATAGGAACCATCAAATATGATGTACTGAAGGGGAATTGTGAATAACACAATTGCAGCAACATAAGCAATGAGGATCATGAATCCTTGAAATCCCTGAAAGATGACCACAGTATCATCAGACAAAGAGGTGCCATCATGATTCTGGTTTACACTGACTACAGGAAAGGTATGCTTACCATGTTGCGTGATACCTCCAGTTATGCACCTGCGGCCAGGGACATTGCAGGTCATCCATGGTCTACCAAAGATTTATAAAGCAACAAATCCATTGAAATACTGGCTGATTGCTTCGGGCAGTGACTGTGTAACACAACCCTTGGCCCAGGTTGTCGATTTCTTTTTACAACCCCTGGTGAAGAAATGTCCTGCTTACTTACAGTACACGGTGACTTTTTTAGAAAAGCTTTGACAACACTTCAAATTGCGTGCTAACTGGAAATTAGAAACAATGGATAGTTCATCCTTGTACACAGGCATCCCTAACAACGCATTGTTTAAAAGCTGCACAACATTTCCCGTCACTTGACGAGCATGGCACCATCCCTACAGAGTTAATTTTACAATGTCTACTATTTGTACTTGAGCGTAATTTTTTTCCATTTGAAAATGAGATGTACACAGAAATTGGAGGTACTGGCATGGGTAGCTCTGCAGAGCCATCATTGGATATCTTAAGGAAACATTATTCTGTCCCTTCCAACTCTTCATGACGCATGTCAGAAACTGGTGGAGGTATATCGATGATATCTTTGTTATCTGGGATGGCAATACCGCTAAATTTAATGAATTTGTGGATTTTCCCAATAGCATCTTTGCAGGTATAGAGTTCAATCCAGAGCTCTCAGAAATAGGAATTGCTTTTCTCTATGTATTTGTCTCAGTCACAGACCAAAAGTACACACAACTGGAACCGACTGACCGAAATACTATCCTACATTACCAAAGTGCGCACCCCAAGCATCTGATTGACAACTTACTGGTATCCCAAATGATGTGGGTAATGAGAATTTGCTCTGGCCAAGATGACTGCAAGGTACAGATAGACAGAATGTACAAGAAGTTTCTACAGAGGTTTTCCCAAGAAGGCCATTGACAGAGCATTACACCGAGTATCCACCAGGATGATTGAGGGTGTGACTAGAGATAGTAATATAGAAAGAATTCCATTCGTACAAAAATGTAAACTCCTGGCTCTCATGCTAGCCATTGGATGGCACTCTTTATACGTTTTTTTTTTATTATACTGTGTACCTCCGTGGGTTACCTTAGCAAACAGCTTGGGGAATTATCCATTTCACGTGTTAGCACTTGTTAGGGATCACACTCTTCTGCTCACATTATCCTCCTTGCTTTATATCCACCCAAATATTTGCATATATCTGGGATATGTTCTAATAATCACACGTCACCAGTTTCTGCTTTAGCCACACGTGATTGATATCAACCATGACTTACGAATCTTTTTACAGACAATGTTGTCTGACCAGTGACGCATTCACGAATGTCATTATGTGTTCCATTTTTGGCATGCAAGATCAGCATTGCATATGATTGCCTAAGACTGACTATCCCTTCTACCTACTATTATGTGTAGCTTACACATGCATATAGTTTTTTACACTTTGTAATGTTTTTTTTTTTCAATGCTGCACATGCAAATGTAACATTTTACATAGTTAATTGAAGTGTACACTATATAACATTACGCAATGCATTTGAGTTCTACTAGGTCATACATTAATTATAACAGCATATTGTATATATAACATCTAATACGGTATACAAATATGCCTATTTATGCATATTTATGCATTTGGCGGCATAGTTAGATCCTGGGTTCAGTGCAAGCCGCAACATCTATGGGTGTATATTATGTGAGTCACATCACTGTTTCAAGTTAATCCTTTCATGCTGACATCCTAGTCGTGTTTTTCTTCCACATTAATTGAATACCTCACAGTGTATATACACCCTATTAGCTATCTTATGTGGGCATCATAACTAGCCAGAAGCCTCTCCAGTCAATGTCCACACCCCTCCCCCCTTCTCTCAACCTGTTATTGTGACTCCTTAAGTTAGGAATGGAGCACATTGCGCTAGTGCAGATAATGGCATTACTGCGCATGTGCAAGTGGAGATAACTGATCCTTGCCACTGCGCAGGTGCTGTTACAGGCATTACTGGGACCAATAGTAATGTATGGGAAGGGGGCCCGTGTTCTATGGGGGTGAGGACACTCATGTGGAGCATAGTTAGGGATGCAATTGCGTCCCCAGCACCATGGCAAAAACGCTTGGGAACAGCTGTTTGACAGCATGAGGGACTGCTGTCCATGTGGTGAGCTGTACCGTCCTCATCACATGCAGGAGACAGTGAGTGCACCCCAGGCCAGCATCCCCCAGGCTGTATCTGCTCCACCTCCCAAGTCCCGCCTATCACCATCTACTATGCCTTACATTGCACCCAGAGGCGTTTAACTAATAGTGAAAGTCAGCCAGGCTGAGAGCATGCTTGGTTCAGCCAGGTACTGTGGATGTGTGGTTTTTGAAGAGTGCAGTTAAGTCAGTTTATGTATGTAGTGTGTGTATGTATGTGTGGTGTTAAAATTCATTATGGGGATACTGCTGTGCTATGAATAAAGGCAATGAAATGTCTCATGGGGGATGTTGTGAGCTATAGTATATACACTTCTGACCCCTGCACTCTGTTCGCTGGGCTGTATGGTGCTTATATGCCTGACCCCTGCACTCTTTTTACTGGGCTGTACATTACTTTTACTCCTGACCCCTGCAATCTGTATGTTACCCATTCCTGGCCTCTGTTACACACTTCTGACCCCTGCACTTTGTACGTAGGTAAGGAAAATGCGTGCACTTATCACAAGGATGACCTTGTCCCCGCAATGGTAAAAGGACAACTCATGTTCACCATGACAGCATTTAAAACCTAAGAGAGGTTTTTAACCTCTACCTTTTATATCCAAAACTTTGGCTGGAGTTGGACTTGAATTTTGACTGTTCATGTGCCTTAAAAAAAGTGATCTAAATGCTTCAATAATGGGAAGACTGGAAACATTTGTATTTTTTCAGAATCAATAAATTAAGTAAATGTTCATAGTTTAATTTTAAACAAAACATAGCACACTTATTGTTCTCAAAACACAACTCAAGGATTTAATGTTCCAGGTTAAAAGCACCAAGAATACATGAAAGGATTTTTTTTTTTTGCAATAAGAACCAAGGGGCTTTTCTTCCTTATTTAGGAGATTTACTTCCATCTTCCTTTTCTGTCTGAGCTGTCCTTCTACTGCCCATGACTGGAATGTGTTGCAGGACATGTGTAGTCACCTGATCAATGTCTCTGTTACGGATATAGCAGAGAAATGTGGTCCACAAAAAAGCACAAACTCCAATGTAGGCTGTTCTGACAAATGGTGGTATAAGGCTGAAATTTATGGTCTGCCAATAAAAATACAGAACAAGGTAAAGATATACAAGTACATTTCTTCAAAAAGTAACAAACTACTTTGGCCATAATTCACACAGCACATATTCCATGGTTTAGCTATAGTTGAGAACGGATCCACACACAGGCCTACTATGCAAAAGTTTAATGTAAAAGTGTCTTATTTGCAGGTTTTGTTCCTCACAATTTACAAAAATGGTAAAACAATTGCCGGCATAATTGCAAGATCTTAGGCACACCGAGTCACTTGAAGAACTGAAGGGCGTAGAGGGGTACATATGTACCCATTGCTTGCGATGCTCTGGGCCAGTGATGTGATTCTCTTTGACTGTAGAAACATCTAAAAATCTCTGCATGTGTGCTTGGCATGTGCTGGCTCTGATGTACCTACATTTCTAGTACAGCAGGCAGATAGGAGGACACAATAAGCTTCTCTATGTACAATGAGTTATGCTCCAGTGCAAACATTTCACTGTGGTGCACACGATCAGAGGTACACACTTACAGGGTCTGCTGAAACGATATGCTCATATATTTAAAACTAATATGCATGATATAATTAGGGGCAACAATTCATTTACCATTCAAAAAGTGTGTACTTCTCAATGGAGAAAGGAGTGAGGGGTGTATTTATTCTATAAATCGTATTCATCCGTGATCATGGAGATCTTACCTGAAAGATGGTCCAGCAAAATACACCCGTCTAAAGAGGGAACAAAACAGAGAACATTTTCTGTTAATATAATCACTGTAGGACTATTGGATAGGAGTCTATTTGAGCTTTGTTGACTATGTAACTGGTGAAGGTACACTAGGTGGGGCCACCAATTATCTGACTTTAAGCTGGTTGTAGAAAGTAGACGTTACAACTATTAGTATATAAACTATTTGTTAACAATTCTGTGACTGATGCCTAGATGCCCAGGCCAAAAGTTATCTGTGTCCCCATGTGCCAGTTAACTTGACAATAACTATGACCAATTTGCATACCTATTTTTTTTAATGAGTTAAGCACATATAGGGCTTTTATTTGTTAAAACTGATGGCACTGCTGATGCCACTGCAGCCTCATGATGGCACTGCTATTCTGAAGCCGGTAGGCTTTTATTTTTTTCTTCCTGTGAAGTCTTTAGCCCTCATGTAATTACTATGCCACAGCTTACATATTGATCACATGATCAAGAACTACTCTGAATAATTCCCAATTATCAGGGGAGATCCAAGCTATCAGTGGAAGCTGGGATTGATTGCCAGCAGTCACACAAAGGGGGTGATTTACTAACCTAAACACACGCACGCACCAGGTGCGTGTGATTTTCACACAGCAAAATGTATTTATCAACCAAAAAGTCTCTAAAAGCATATATACACTTCTGACCCCTGCACTCTGTTCGCTGGGCTGTATGGTGCTTATATGCCTGACCCCTGCACTCTTTTTACTGGGCTGTACATTACTTTTACTCCTGACCCCTGCAATCTGTATGTTACCCATTCCTGGCCTCTGTTACACACTTCTGACCCCTGCACTTTGTACGTAGGTAAGGAAAATGCGTGCACTTATCACAAGGATGACCTTGTCCCCGCAATGGTAAAAGGACAACTCATGTTCACCATGACAGCATTTAAAACCTAAGAGAGGTTTTTAACCTCTACCTTTTATATCCAAAACTTTGGCTGGAGTTGGACTTGAATTTTGACTGTTCATGTGCCTTAAAAAAAGTGATCTAAATGCTTCAATAATGGGAAGACTGGAAACATTTGTATTTTTTCAGAATCAATAAATTAAGTAAATGTTCATAGTTTAATTTTAAACAAAACATAGCACACTTATTGTTCTCAAAACACAACTCAAGGATTTAATGTTCCAGGTTAAAAGCACCAAGAATACATGAAAGGATTTTTTTTTTTTGCAATAAGAACCAAGGGGCTTTTCTTCCTTATTTAGGAGATTTACTTCCATCTTCCTTTTCTGTCTGAGCTGTCCTTCTACTGCCCATGACTGGAATGTGTTGCAGGACATGTGTAGTCACCTGATCAATGTCTCTGTTACGGATATAGCAGAGAAATGTGGTCCACAAAAAAGCACAAACTCCAATGTAGGCTGTTCTGACAAATGGTGGTATAAGGCTGAAATTTATGGTCTGCCAATAAAAATACAGAACAAGGTAAAGATATACAAGTACATTTCTTCAAAAAGTAACAAACTACTTTGGCCATAATTCACACAGCACATATTCCATGGTTTAGCTATAGTTGAGAACGGATCCACACACAGGCCTACTATGCAAAAGTTTAATGTAAAAGTGTCTTATTTGCAGGTTTTGTTCCTCACAATTTACAAAAATGGTAAAACAATTGCCGGCATAATTGCAAGATCTTAGGCACACCGAGTCACTTGAAGAACTGAAGGGCGTAGAGGGGTACATATGTACCCATTGCTTGCGATGCTCTGGGCCAGTGATGTGATTCTCTTTGACTGTAGAAACATCTAAAAATCTCTGCATGTGTGCTTGGCATGTGCTGGCTCTGATGTACCTACATTTCTAGTACAGCAGGCAGATAGGAGGACACAATAAGCTTCTCTATGTACAATGAGTTATGCTCCAGTGCAAACATTTCACTGTGGTGCACACGATCAGAGGTACACACTTACAGGGTCTGCTGAAACGATATGCTCATATATTTAAAACTAATATGCATGATATAATTAGGGGCAACAATTCATTTACCATTCAAAAAGTGTGTACTTCTCAATGGAGAAAGGAGTGAGGGGTGTATTTATTCTATAAATCGTATTCATCCGTGATCATGGAGATCTTACCTGAAAGATGGTCCAGCAAAATACACCCGTCTAAAGAGGGAACAAAACAGAGAACATTTTCTGTTAATATAATCACTGTAGGACTATTGGATAGGAGTCTATTTGAGCTTTGTTGACTATGTAACTGGTGAAGGTACACTAGGTGGGGCCACCAATTATCTGACTTTAAGCTGGTTGTAGAAAGTAGACGTTACAACTATTAGTATATAAACTATTTGTTAACAATTCTGTGACTGATGCCTAGATGCCCAGGCCAAAAGTTATCTGTGTCCCCATGTGCCAGTTAACTTGACAATAACTATGACCAATTTGCATACCTATTTTTTTTAATGAGTTAAGCACATATAGGGCTTTTATTTGTTAAAACTGATGGCACTGCTGATGCCACTGCAGCCTCATGATGGCACTGCTATTCTGAAGCCGGTAGGCTTTTATTTTTTTCTTCCTGTGAAGTCTTTAGCCCTCATGTAATTACTATGCCACAGCTTACATATTGATCACATGATCAAGAACTACTCTGAATAATTCCCAATTATCAGGGGAGATCCAAGCTATCAGTGGAAGCTGGGATTGATTGCCAGCAGTCACACAAAGGGGGTGATTTACTAACCTAAACACACGCACGCACCAGGTGCGTGTGATTTTCACACAGCAAAATGTATTTATCAACCAAAAAGTCTCTAAAAGCATATTTCCACTAATGCCATATATGGAAAAATCATGCACATGATGCATATATAATGCTGCTTCACAGTTTAGACAAAAATGGTTAGCTCATGCATTTACATTCCTGCATTCATCAACGCAAGCAACACAACATAGAGCTAATTTACACAACATCACCTTGTAATTCATGCAGGGCTTTGCACAACACACCTGCTGGGTGTGTACACACTACAAAGGTGTTTAGATTCCACACATAGATCATGCTGGGAGGGAACACACTACAGAGGTGTATACATGTTCGTGGTGTGTTTATAAAGTTAGTAAATCAACCCCAAAGTGTCAGCTGCTGGGACTTAAAGGGTGAAACCTATTTAAATTATTCCTAGCACACGGCTGGGTAATGTTAACAGATTGTGAATGGGATAGTGTTAAAAACAAACTCAAGATACGTGAGCACCTGATGCCAGTAGGGAATCTAAACATTACTAGCTTTCTATTTTTTATCTGTGTGAAACTGTGAAGAAAGCAGAACATTCTCACAAGTGTTGCTGGAACTCAGCAAATATCAGGGGAAACCCCACAGATGCCCCAATAGTCACTCAATCCTGCTAAAATCTGCAAGATAGTAGATGTAATTGATGTTTGTTGCCCTATTTGAATGTGAACACAATGGTTTAGCCCCTCTATCCCCTCAATTTCATTGTATGATCTATTCACAAACCCACTTTTCTATGTTTTAAGCCATAGCAAATGACTATACCAGTGACAAGTGTAACGTGTAGAGGGCAGCAAAATTAAACTGGCACTAAACTCAGGAGTTAAATCTTGAAAATGCAATCAAGTACCCAAACTATTAACAAAAATGCATCTTATTTGTGTATCACTCGGCTGTAGGTCCTCAAATCATCTCTGAATTGGTGCTGACCTTGTCCTTCCTTCTGGAGGGTGGCTACTATTGTTGCCCATGGTCCCTGTGTTTGTTGTAAAGTAGTCACCGTTCCAAGCTCACTCCCATGATGGACTACAATCTCATGTTTAGTTTACTAATTTGTATTGAAATTGTATTCCATCACAGGAGCGAGCTTGGAGCGGTGACTACCTTACAACACACAGGAACCATGGGGAACAAAAGTAGTCACCCTCCAGAAGGAAGGACAATGTCAGCACCAATTCAGAGATGATTTGAGGATCTAAAGCCGAGTGATGCATAAATAAGATACATTTTTGTTAATAGTTAAGGTACTTGGATGCATGTTTAACATTTACCTCCTGAGTTTAGCGACACTTTAAGGTTTATAACATAACAATGAAATGAATATTAATTAATACAGAATGTATGTATTACCTTGTAAGTTGGCCAGAATTTCTCTTTTAAGTTTTTAAAGATATCCTCTTCTTTATCTAAAAGACTTAAACCTAAAAGAAATGAGTTTTTAAATAGTCAAGCATTATCACAAAGGCTGGATACAGTTTTAAGTACATTTTTAGAACATGGTTTATCCAAAGATAAATAAATAAAGGATGGCACCTAAACATTACCTATTTTACTTTGATATCTTCTACTTACTTATAAAGTTAGTATATTTGACTCACTTGATAACTTGTTTCAGAGAATGTAATGATTGATTGCAAACTACAGTAACCAACCGATAGTCCTTTGTTATCTGCAAGAAACTAATTTTAAGAGGAACTCCAGTTGGGGTTGCCCCACTACAAGGGTTCATTTGTTAGACTCTTGGAGTTCCTCTGTACAGTAAATCTGTCATAAGTTAAATGCTATACCTGCCATACCAGAGCAGCATTTTCTCCAAAAAAAGAAAAGGGTTGATCCACACAAAAAAAGACATTTCAATATTTGGTATATGCTGAGATATCACACCTTCTAAAGGTGGTCGTACACCTGACGAATCTCGTACGATAATCGCGGGAAATCCCGCGATCGTACGATAATCGGCAGGTGTATGGAAGGCGTGCGACCGTTTCTACTGTACGGTCGCACGTCTTTTGTCTTACGAGCACGTTGGAAAACCAGCCGAAAAATCGTAAGATTTTCGGCGAGTTTGTGGCATGCTCGTAAGACAAATGCCGCACGGGCCGATGTGCGCAAGCGCACACTGCCCGCTCAGCATTGCAGTCACCGGAAGCCCTCCCCTCAGCAGGGCGGGCTTTCGATGATCGCAAGTACGATCTGCCTGTCCGAGATGGGCAGATCGTACAAGCTTTTAATTACCTTACAACCAGGAAGCCAGACTGCTCGCAACAAGTGAAGCCGGTGTTCAATCGAAAGCTCCGACTTGTCGAGCTCTCCAACTGGGCATGTCACATCTGGTGACTGCCGGTAGGAGATGTACAGCAGATGGAGCTAGTGCGCATAGGCAGAACAATCCTTGTCGAACTGTCTAACTATTGCCACTGCGCCTCATCGGACTATAAAATCTAGTACAAAGTTATATTTGTCCAAGGTTATAGAAGCCGATAATTGCGCAGGCGTAGTGGCAACTGTGGTTGTAGAAAGAATCATGTGGCCGCGCAGTCGCTGTAACATAATATGACCTTTGACTAGGTTATAGAATCCGATGAGGCAATAGCCACTGTGCCCGCACGGCTATCGGCTCATCGGTTTCTATAACCTAGGACAAATATAACTGTAGCAGGTTATAGAAGTGGATAGCCGCGCAGGCGCTGTGGCACTAGTTAGATCGACAAGGATTTCCTGGGCATGCGCACTAGCACCATCTGCTGTAGATCTCCTACTGTCAGTCACCAGTTGGAGAGGTTGACAAGTTGGAACTTTCGATAGGACACCAGCTTCATAGCCAATCAGGAAGCAGAGAGGCGGGTCATGACATGCAGCCTTGCTTCCTGATTGGCTGAGAAGCCGGCTCCATGCTCCCCCGCGGCACTGCCGGTGAGAGGGAATCTTTCTTTGACCAGCAGTTTGGGGTAAGATGAATACACAAAAGAGAAGAAACCTTGATGTGTTTCACACAAATGCCTAATTGTAAGGAGCAGTGGCGCTATAGCCCCTTCCATATCAATACGTTATTTTAAATGTTTATTTAACGATTTACTATTTATTAGCGCCCCCCACCACCACTATACAAGCAAACTGATAATGAAATGTTTATGGTCATTTAACAGTTAGAACTGTGTGACATTAATACACGGGCTAAATGGAGCCCAAACCTAAGTAGTTCTGAAATTACCTGTGTAGAAAGCACTGATTGTAACTGGAGCTGCCAGCAGCTGATCACATGCTACCTTCCGTATGACATTCCTAGCTGCGGATCCTGGAAATGTTCTTTCAATAAATCTTAGCCAGAAAAAGTTAAAATTGGCATGAAAACAGAAGCCCACAATTCCGACCTTAGCAGTTTGTTTAAAATCTATTTGTTCATTGGGTCCTTTTGAGAGTCTCTGTTGCACAACATCAGCAGACGCAAAGAGAGAGCCATATATTGTCACATTGGTCAACCAGGGGTGTCGTTTTGTGAATTGTACCAAGGCACGCATTGTGACAAAAACAGAAAAAGTTGCAAATTACAAAATGTTACAAATTCTAGCAAGTTTTGGCGCTTCTCTATGGTCAATATACCATGAAATGCAATAGAAAAGTCTATTTAGGATATAATATGTAGTGTGCTAAGAAATGTCACATAGGCTGCTGATGATGCAGGTTGACCAAGCATGAGAGGTCTTGTATTTTATTAATCCTCTCAACTCTTTATATTCACTGTATTCTTCTGTCCTGAAAAGACAAGAAAATATAGATTAGAACACCTGGGTATGGAGGATCAATCACACACTCAATAGAAATGACAAAAAAGCAGTGTAAGGCCTCATTCACACAGCGTAGAGTGGGGCCGTACAGATCCGTGCAGCGTGCATCACTGTATCGGGCCGTTCCCGGGAAGAACAAGTGCTGCGTGTGATTGAACGCAGCAGCCGGTTCTTCCCTATGGGAGGATGCGGCCGTACGCTCTCCCCTACAAAAAACTGACAGAACTTATAAACCTTCCCCACTTGTACAAAAAAATAATGTTTTGCTCTCTGTGCTCCTGTCAGATACATTTCAGTCTGATTCTATAACAGGAACCACACAGAAAATGAGTTATCAGTTATCAGAAAAATCTGAAATTTTTCCTATTGGTGACACAGAACCCTCTAGTAGAAGAAGGGTTAAACCCATGCATGTTGGTATCGGGCTGTCATCGGGCGGCCGCTCGCTCTTCCGAGGCCACTGCGAGCGGCTCTCTACAGTGCCTGATTGGAGGGCGCGTCTGCCTGATCCAGCCAGCCCGGATCGCATAGCGGCGATCCGGGCTGGCTGGATCAGGCAGACG